TTGCCTGATTTTAATTTTTAAATAATTTACATCATTCTTGTTACATGCTTCACTAGAAAATCACCTTCCACGAAGGTGGCGAATTTTGTCTGTTTTGTTCCCCAGTGGGTCTGCGGTGCCTGGAACAGTGCCTGGTACCAAGTAAGAACTCACTAGCTATCTGTGGGATGCATAAATGCGTGGGAGGTGCCCGGGGGTGGTGGGGACAGGCCAGGGCCCTGACATCCTCACCTGGGTTCCCATGGATACCTGACGACTTTCAACAGGTGATAGTAACAGCCCATGTAGTTTGACTCCCCCAGTCCAAAGATACCCTGCAATTCGGCATGGCGGGGACAATTAGCCCCAGCTGAGAGAGAGCGGAAACTGAGGTTGACAGACAGGAAGACACTCAATCTGAGCTGGAAACTGTGTGATTCAGAAGCTGACTTGCTCCCTCATGGAGCTGTCTCGCCAGCTCGTTGGGCAGGACAAGGAGGGTTCAGAGGGCGGAGGGAACGGCTGAGCCCGCATGTGGCCCCGAGTCCTCTACAGACTAGAAAAGCACTGTCAGGTGTGAGTTTGGCGGGGGCAGCCAGCGGGCTGAGGGTGAGGGGGTGCGTGGGGCATCCAGGATGGGTCTGACAGAGCCCGTTAGAGCCACTGCAGGTTTTAGAGCAAGCGTTGATCTGAGCAAAGTGCTGAGACCTTGGGAGTCTCTCAGCCTTTCCCTGACCAATGCCTTCAGGTTGAAGCCTGGAATTTCATATCCAGACTCTGATGTCCTGAGGGTCCCTGTGCTCTGACCAGGACACGCGCTGTTCCCTGTCAGCCCCTGGAGCTTCCTAACTTTAATACCTCTGCTCCTGCCCGGGGCGCCTTTCATTCACCTTAGACTTTCATGTCCTTACACCTCCTTCCCATAGCTTGGGAGCTCCTGAGGGGAAGGGACAACAACAACAAAAAAACAAACAATAATAATAATAAGTGGTCCTCATGCTGGGAGCTGTGGATTAAGCACTCTCCTGCATCCCCTCAGCCAGTCTTTGCAACCGCCCCTTAAGGTGGGTATCATCCGTCTGATTTAAAGATGAGGAAACGGAAGCTCAGAGTGGACCTATGATTTGTCCCGGGTCAGCAAGCCAAGAATGAAAAGAGCCTTCCTTCCTGCTTCTTCCCATAGTCGACTCTGACTCTTTCTTGAAGTCTTAGTTCAGTTGCCACCTCCCCCTGGAAGCCTCCCTGGATGCCTCGCTGCCTGTGCGTCCCCCATCGCAGCCCTGACTCCGCTGCCCGTGCGTACGTGCCAGGCCTCCGCTGAGCCCCCTGCGTCCTCAGAGTCTGACATCTCTGAATCTGGTGCTGTGACGGCATCCATCTTCCTGTTGAAGCAACCAGGCTCCAAAAAGTGAAGTTTGCTTGTGCCAGAAGGACGGGGGGCTCACTGCCCTTGGGGCAGCTGATCAGGCCACCCACCCCCACCCACCCACATGCACGTGTGCCACAGGCTCACACCCAGCGTTTATCTCTGCAGACACCCGCCTCTCACATGCAGGCAGCAGCGATGTCTGTGTCTGACGCTTGTAAATACTTCCTCCAGGCTCCTTCGCTCAGCGGGGAGGGAGGTGGGGTGGGGGGGAGGGCATCCGAGGCAGAGGACTGAAGTTTGTTTTTGGGGCCTGCCTACCCCACCTTCCTTCTGCCTACCTGTTAGCCAAGGTGGGGGAGTTCACCCGCCTGGGCCTGTGACCCTGACCTCAGGTCGAGCCCGTGACCTGAGAGATGATGACAGCCCCCACCCTCAGTGTCTGCGGTGGGGGCTCTGGCAAGGTCTGCCCCTCTCATCTTGTCCCCCTCTGGGTCCGCCCACTCACTCTCTTCTTAAAGTGGCCTTGGGAGGAGCCTGGCCCGCTAGACAAGATGGGCTACGGAGGTCCCATTACACACGCACGAGGCAGAAGCTAGAGAAGGGGGTCGCTTTCTCCCGGTCACACAGCCAGGCAGGGTGCAAGGCGCAGGTGATGCTGCAAGGGTCTGGGTGAGTTGGACCTGGGACCCTGCACCGCACGCAGATCCCGCCCTTCCTGAGACCCGTCCGGGAAAAGAGAAAGCGCCTCCAGGCCGGCTGCGTGCCAAGCACGCCCCCTGCTGGGATCAGCTGGAATCGGCGCAGCCGCGACCCCCGGGGTCCCGTATCTACGGAGCCCTGATTCCTGCTAAAAAAAAACTCTGAGCCAGAATTCCAAGCTGAGCCCCTGACTCCAGCTAGAGGCCCTGGTCTGTTCTTTACTAGGCTCAGGAGCCCCTCAGCCCCCTGGCCATCTGCGGCAACCTGTAAGATGTCCGTGCAGCTCCGAGTGTCCCAAGTTCTAATCCCAGCTCTGTCACGCCCTGGCCGAGTGACCTGGAATAGGTCACTTACTTCGTCTGAGCCTCGGTTTCACGATCCGTGAAATGGAACACTTGTAGGCCCTGGCAGGATTGCCGTGAGGATCCAGCGAGTGAATTTATGTAAAGTGCTAGCAGTGACCAGCACATAAAAGGTGCTCAGTAAGTATTAGCTATACTATTGTTGCTATCATTACCAGATGTGCTGCTGGGCACTTTAAAAAACAAAACAAAACAAAACAGCTTGATTGAGACATAATTCATACTCCATGCAATTCACCCATTTAAAGTATACAATGCAGTGTTTCAGTATTGTGGTAAATGTGTAATACAAAGTTGACCACTTTAATCGTTTTTAAGTGCACAGCTCAATGGCATGAAGCACATTTATGTTGTTGTGCAAGTGTCATCCGTCCATCCCTAGAACTTTCTCCTCTTCCCAGACTGACCCTCTGTCCCCACTAAACACTCACTCCCCTCCCCTCCCCCAGCCCCTGGCTCCACATTGTACTTCCTGTCTCTATGAATCTGACGCCTCTGGGGACCTCCTGTGAGTGGGATCACACAGTATTTGTGACTGGCTTCTTTCACCGAGAGAAAACAGTGTCCTCAAGGTTCACTCATGCTGTAGCAGGTGTCAGAATTTCCTTCCTTTTCAAGACTGAATAATATTCCATTGTCTGGACGGACCACACGGTGTTTATCCATCATCTGTTGATGGACACGTGGGTTGCTTCTGCCTTTTGGCCATTGTTGGTAACGCTGCTGCCAATGCCTGTTTGAGGCCCTGCTTTCAACTCCGTTGGGTACATAGCTAGGAGTGGAATTGCTGGCTCATGTGACAATTCCATGATTAATTTTTTGAGGAACTGCTGAACTTTTCCACAGTGGCTGCACCTTTTTACATTCCCACCATCAGTGTTCAAAGGTTCTAATTTCTTCACATCCTTGTGGGCACTTTCTATTCGTTGTCTTATTTGTGGATCTGTAGGGTTTATTATTCCCATGTCACAGAGGTGGGAAACCAAGGCTCGAAGGGATGAACACATGCAGGCACAAAGTGACAAAGCCGGGGTTGAACCTAGCTCGGTCACACTCCACGCCTGCCCCTGGCCAGCCAGCACTCGCTGAAACAATCTGCTCTGGTTCGATGAGGTGCCTCTGTGACCCCTTTAGCTACCCTGATCCAAAGAAGTGATCTTCATAATTTGAGGCTCAGGGGCATGAAGAGATGGATCTATAACAGTAAATTTCAACCAGGGGGTGATTCTGACCCCCAGGGAACACTTGGCAATGACTGGAAACAGTTTTGGTTGTCAATGACTTGAGAGGGGCTACTCTGGCATTAAGTGGGTGGAGGCCAGAAATGCTGCTCAACACCCCACGGTACTCAGGACTGCCCCTACCTCCCCAGGCAGGAATGACAGGCCCCAAATGTCAACAGCGTTGAGGATGAGAAAGCCTGGACTAGAGAAAGAATAGAACCTAGCTGTGTGTGAAAGGAGGTGGGACAAGCAGTCCTAGGTTTGAATCCCAGCCCTGCCGCTTGTGCCTGCAAGTCCTCAAGCAATTAAATCTCTTGCCCTCTCTGGGCCTCAGTTTTCCCCTCCAAAATGGGATAGAGACATTTATTTTTGCTTCGTGATGTCTGTGCCAGGGTGTGTGTCCCCCACGTGCAGGACAGGGCTAGACACGCACCAAACATTTGTTGTCTAGCCTGCTCTGGCCTTCCTTGGCTCTAGCTATAACTAGGACCCCCAGTTGGGGCTGAGGGGCGGAAACGGAGCAGCAGGGGAGCTGGGAGCCGCTCCAGGGCCCAGTTCCCAGGACTCACAGCTGCATCCTCTGGGAGGGGGGCCCAGCTGGCCCCGCAGCCCCACCCGCTGGCGGCCAGGAGGCTCATTCCCACGGAAATTGAGGCTGGATCTGCGAGTCCTGTGATGGGGGTCTCCGGGGCCTGTTCACCCAGCGACAGTGACTGCTTCAAACCTCACCCCAGAACTTATCAGCAACCCAGAAAGAGTTGATCTTCAACTCTGGGTCAGATTCAACCGTCTGGAGGTACCAGAATCTGTATTTGTTAAGGGGCTCCCAGGTGATTCTGATGTAAAGGGTTCCCCATACTTTAAGAAACTAGTTCCTGCCTAAATTCCTATGACCCAGGAGGGTAAACTGAGTCGGAGAAGGAGGAAGGGGCCTGTCCAGAACCGCACAGGTCGGTTTATTTTTCTTTTTGGCTCTCTGTCTTCCTCTCTTTCCCCCGGGTCTCTCTGTTTTTGACTCTGCCTCCTTCCTCCCCTTTCTTCGGCCGGGCCCTCCGCCCGCGGGCGCC